AAGTGAACTTATACGAGAACCATTGTAGTTCGAATTAAAAAAAATATAAGTATTTGGGTAGGTAAATAAACTGCGAAAGCGAATACTATTTTGTAAAAAGTCCACCTTATAAAAGAATCTTAATTATGCGGCGTACTTGAAGTCAGCGATGACAGATCCCATAGAAGTGAGAAATCGATATGAAAAAGGCTTGTTCCGCACAATGGGTCGCAAGCAAACATTCACGCTTCTGAATCGCTTAAGCCCTCAAAGACGGCTTTAGGTACAAAGCATCTCAGCGTTCAACATCACACCTACCTTGAAAGTGCCTTATTAACAGCTATGTAGTGTGGCTTATCAAGCCCAAAGGCTTTTTTGAAAAACTTCAAAGGTTGCTGGGAAATGTTTTGAGCCGGGTTTTCGCCTTTTTTCAATGGCAATTAGTTAGCGTTTCTGCCGACGCCTGCTCTTACGCGTTATGCAATTATGCTGTCGAGTAGTTGGGACCACGATCTGTGTTACTTAGAGGTGGCAAATACTATTTAGGGATTTCAAGCAAAACTTTACGTCGCTTGTAACAAGGTTGTTGCACCACTGGTTGTAATAAATATGGCACGCAGAGAGGTATAAAAATTTCAGATAAATATAAAATTTAGATAAAGCTATCTCTAAGCTAATTAAAAATACAAAATTGTGACTTAATTTAAGATTTTTTTTAATTTTAGAAAAACATCCAGATAACAATGTCACAACTAGCAAATATTGAGGTCACATATTACATGAAGAAAATTTTGGTATTTTTTTGTCAAATAATTTATATTCCTAATTATATTAGTTAAAATCGAATTAAGTTATACATTTTCATCGGTCGTCGAGGAGGAATACGAAATTCCACCCGTACCTGGACGTCCATAGGTTCCACAACTGAGCGTTTCTAAAGGCAGTTTTGCCTTTCCTGCCAACTGAAGTATTTTCGAACCAATTCGACTTATGGTCATTTTAGAAAAGATCGAACTAATTCTTAAAAGGCCGGCAACGCACTCGCGACTGTATCACTTAACATCAGGTGTGCCTTCTACCCATTTTCTCCTGTTCTATAAAAAAATATAATAATAAAGTCGTCCGAAAAAAAGCAATACAAATAACTCCACCAGAACATCCAATTCCATGTTTCGTAGCTACCTGTTATGACTGAGGGTGTCTTAAACTAAAAATATTGATATAGAGGTCGTGTTAATTAAGCTTTTCACTCATTTAATTTTTTACTCAGTTGACTTTAACCTTTAGTTAGTGCCAATTTATTCAGCAATTAATTAGCAATCGCCGGTTTGATCGTCCAAGCGGCAGAGTATTGTGGCCGATTTCAATGTTATGAAATTACTCTACACCTGGACGGTTACAAAATTGAACCATTTTGATTAAGTATTAAATGCTGACTTAACACATTTTAAGCGTTAAAAAATTGTGGTGTGCCGTTGCGAGAAAGACAAAAATATACACCGATTGAAAGTGTATGTACCCTACATTGAAACTTAATACTAGATGTATTATACATATATAATATAGAAAGAAATATTTGATAATTAAAAACATTTTATTGGACCTTTTTTGCCTAAGTTATTGAATGTTAGTTATAACACAGGCTCCGGCTCGAAGGACCAAAATCCACGGTCCCTGGTTCATTGCGGTAGTTTAAATAATAGAGGATTTTTTACTATATATTAACCACTCGCGTACAACCATAGAATAAATGAGAAATAATTAAATGGTAATTGCTATGCAATGTATGAATGCAATAAAACTGTTGAAGAGAGTGCCTGTGTAACGTAACTCCGACGATTTAGGAAATCGCCACGTTTATAATAACTAAGAAAGCATGAGCAAAATGTACAGCCTTGGCTCGTGTAGTGGAACTAAATAAAAATAACTGTTAATTATTAATTATTTAATTATTTGTGGTATGAATACGTTTGTTTGACTAATTATTTAAGGCGGGTCTACCCACCTTCTGTAGATACTGACCAAAAACAATTATTCATTCGCCGGGAATCGAACCTAACGTCCAGCTATAACGCATTAAATAACATAAGCTCGATAAACTGAATCAAGGCGATAGTCTGATGCAGAATTGATAACTTTTCTGAAATTACCACGTAACCATCGATTTTGCTATCAGTACGCGAAAATATGTAAGTTAAAATATAACTCTTCAAATTAATTGCTAGTAAAATGAAACATTTTATACTCACACTAACAGTTGAAACTTGCAATAATTAATACGTTTTTAAATATACAATCGACTCGTTATTAGGAAGTTGAAGGTGTTTAAATATGTTTCGGATGACTCTGTCCAGCGTCTGATCTCAGGATGATATCGTAGAGTCGGACTTCCAGACGTCCAGAGCGCATATGCTATAAATCTTGCGTACATGGCAAGTCTCATAAAGAAGAATTAGCCTGGAGTTATTATAACATTATTGCTTAAACAAAAAACTTTGTTGCAATTTGAACCCACACTAGCAACATTCCTGTATGAAAGGTACCTATCTTTATAGTACACATATAACGACAGAGAATTAGTATATATTTTCTATCTGCAATAGTCTAAAGACATGGTAACAACTAGACTTAGAGGCTCTCGAAAAAATAACAGATTAAAATGATACTTACAATTTAAGTGAACATAAATGGTACCAAAAAAATACCGCAAAGTATTATGATATCAAAAGAGAATCTCCAAAACCTTGTCAACACCTACAAAGTCATTAAAACACCAAAAGGTTTACATCAATTAAGTCTTTATGGAACAACGCCCCTAAAGTCCTCATTAAAATTGTACAAACTAACCATGAACTAATCGGTAAAGCAAAATACATTGAAACAGTATTCAATTCTAATTAATTTTATTCATCTCACAGCTTTCAGGCAATTATGGTACCTTTGTCGAGGGCTTAAGAGACAGTATTGTGTAATTCAATTTAGCTATGTATGATATTTTATGGAAGTTGATAGCTGTTTATAGCTAGAGCAGGAGACTCCTGATGTTAAGTAAAATAAATCAGTGGCGCTACAACCTCTTTAGGTCTTGGCCTCAGATTTCTGAATCTGTTTCATGATCATTTTTAAATCTGATAGGCAAGTAGGTGATCAGCCCCCAGTGCCTAAAACACGCCGTCGATTTTTTGGGTCTAAGACATGTCGGTTTCCTCACTATGTTATGTCACTGTTAGAGTAAATGTTAAATGCGCACATTGAAAGAAAGTCCATTGGTGTACAGCCGGGGATCGAACCTACGACCTCAGGTTTGAGAGTCGCACGCTGAAGCCACTAGGCCAACACTGCTCCACCTGATGTTAAGTGATATCGCAAATAGACACTCACATTTCCAGAGGGCTCGCGAGTGCGTTCCCAGCCTTTTAAGAATTGGTACGCTCTTTCCTTGAAGGACCCTAAAGCCGGTTGCAGACCGAAAACTAAGCTATGCCAAGGCTAAACTAAGCTATGCCAAGCAAGCTAGGCTAAGCTAAGCTAGAAATAAATAGCGTGCACACCAACAGCTAACCCAAAGCTCACTCAGTGTTGCATACTATGTGCAAAGGGTGTGCGGGGAAGCGGGAGGGGCTTAGCTTAGCTCGTGTAGCTGCGCATCGGCATACACAACTAACTTAGCTTCGCATATTTTAGTTAGCTCTCATAGCTTAGTTCGCATAGTTTGCGGTCTGCACATAAGTATGGAAAACTGCGTCAGCTATGCGAGCTAAGCTAAACTAACTTAGCTTAGCTCTTGGTCTGCAACCCGTATTAGTCGAATTGGTTCGGAAATACTTCAGTGGGCGGCTGGTTCCATATAGTGGTGGTACGACTATACAATAGTACATTATATAAGTTTTAACATGTGATTAAAATAATTTAATTGTATTTAATTATATTTTTTTTCTTTATAGAACGGGGGGCAAACGGGCAGGAGGCTCACCTAATGTTAAGTGATGCCGCCGCCCATGGACACTCTCAATGCCAGAGGGCTCGCGAGTGCGTTGCCGGCCTTTTAAGAATTGGTACGCTCTTTTCTTGAAGGACACTAAGTCCATTATTTATTTGCATGCTAATTTGATTGTGTGTTTGATAAATAAATCATTTATTTATCTGGTAGTTTTCCGTATTTCGAAATTATGATTCATGTGTCCTGTTGAACTTTATTGTATATAATATTATATACACTCTCTTATGTCCTTATTAAATTTTACTTAATTTCAAAAGGTGGCCATCTTATTACATATTCTAATATGATTTTTGAAACGAAGTGTTAAATTAAATAATTTCCTTTTAAATAAGCTTTGTGTGAGACAATAAAACATTTGAAGTCATAATTGAGTCCTTTTAGGGAATCATTACAAACTCTTATATAAGTTATAATCCTTGATAAACAAAGCATTATTTGAAAGCAAACACTTCAAACAAAGTCGAAATTGTGTTTTTATTTTGTTATAAACTTGCGTAATAACGAGTAAGAAGTAACAAACAAATAAATGGAAAAGTTCGATAAAAAAGTTTAAATATTACACAATGCAATGATTACATTTTGCGTGAATATTGAAAGGTGAAGAAACCTTATGACTTTTAAAACACCCAAGTTTATTAACTTTCTTAAAATTTCAGATATTTTGTTAATTGTAGGTATTACACAAAAGTGGGATGAATATACATGGATTATGTACTGGGGCCATAGAACATCAGACTAGTTCTGCATCATGTAGTACAAATACTTATGAATTTGTTGTTGTCAAAGTTGTCATATATACAGCTCGAGACGAAGACTTTTTTACTTTTAAGAAGGTAAAAATATTTCTGCTATCTTTTCAGTCGTTAGTCTGTCGTATATATTCAGTATTTGTTACAGAGTTATGAGAGTTATATAAGATCTGAGATAATTTTAAATCGATTTATTGTTATCGTTTAATCTATATAATTAATTTTAAGTTCTAATATTATTAGATTTATTTTAGGTTTTAAAAAGTCAAATTATGAGAGGAATCCGGCGTATCTTATACCCAGATAGTACACAAATCGTCGCGCCTCAAAGGCTCAAAGCAGTTTGGAGACAAACCTGTAATACTAGTAGTGCCATAATGCACAGTGAGAGAAGCCGGTACAAACCACGTCGCGCTGTCATCAGTGCCTTATACAGGGCATTAGATACTACAAAGGAAGAAACGGCTCCAGATTTGACTGCTGATGAGCCTGCCTTTTCTGACGTGCCTTCAATTCATCACATATATGACAGATAACACAATGTACACTTATGAAGTTTAATAAAAAAAACAAATTAAATGTTTCTAATTTTACAAAATTAATAAAAAAATAAAAATTGTAGTGCCGGTACCCTCGTAATGTATTCGCTATATTGTGACAGAGCAAGTTTACCATGAAGCTTTATTAGCATATTTGATTTAATTAACGACTGGTGTTAAAGAGAGAGTTACTTATTTTAAAGAGTAGTGCTCTGGTATTTATAGACCAGTCAGTCAAGACAATTAATTCATAATAATTCCAAAAGTTTTCAAATTTTGATGTAAGGTCGGGAGTGGTATTAAAACAAACTATAAAATTTTGCAACCTGCTCTGCGGTCCGGAACATTGTTAAAAATAAGTTTTGGTCGTGAAAAAAATTCCAAAAGTTCTGCAAAGTTGGGGAATTTTTCGATATAATATTTCTAAGTGTACGTAACATTTTTTGTTATTAAAAATTAATGTGTTTCTTTATTAAACTGAAGGAAAACGTTCCAAAAGTTCTGCAAATTTGACAGATATATCGAAAATAAAATAAATAACAAAAAAATGTTCCGTACACTTAGGTTGGTTGCAAATTTTATACGTGATATGAAATATTATATCGAAAAACTTCCCCAACTTTGCAGAACTTTTGGAATTTTTTCACGACCATACAGCAAAAATTAATTTAATTGCAATTTTAACAATGTTCCGGACTGCGGACAAGGTTGCAAAATGAGATTTATTGTCGTCCCAATGTACCATTCACTTGACCGAAGTTTGAAAACTTTTGGAATTATTATCAAATTTTCGATTTCGAATGTCTATAATGACTGGCCTATTATAAACTATAAACTCCAAGATTCTTAGATTTAACTAAAGTTTTAATGATACTGTGATTGCAGACATGTTCGGTGTTAGTAACTAATTACACAATATGCATAATTTAAAATGATTATAATGACCATGTCATTTCACAGCCTCTCTCAACAATGCCTCCAAAATACCATGTCAACGAAAAACATTTTGTACGACAAGATTAACGGATAACTTAGAGGTTAAATTCGATTTCATAATGCTCAATTCACTAAATTTATTTTAAAAACATGAATAGACACATCAACAGGCATCATTTGGCATTTCGCAGCGTGAGTAAGCTACTAGAAATGAGCTATACTTTCAAGTTTATAAACCTCTATAGAACACCAATGATTTATGACTGCGCGGACACAACAAAAACGAATGAATGGGAGATGTAAACGAATGTTACAATACTTGTAATTGTTTAGACAATGGATATATCACAATAATGTACTAACTAACATTGACGAAGTTATCGATAATGAAGCTTAAAATACAGTTGACTTTATCATTGTCTTTGACATATTCAAATTTATTACTAATGGACGCGTTGTCATCCTTCACCGTCAAAGACGCCGCCAAGTTAATTTCTATGACAGCTTAACAATTGACATTTAAGGAGAAAGGACATTCTATAGTTCTTAATACTATTATTCTAACTGTTGTCTTAAGAACAAAATCTATTGAATTTCATACGGTCACGCTTCGTTTTATGACCCGGCCATATTTATATTATTTCTACTATTGTGTCCGCACAATGGCTGTTTGTGGACATTTTTAATTGTTTAACTGTAGTTTTGTAAAAGCATAACGCAATGCCAAATGATAATGGTCCGTAGGTTAGAGCCGAAAAGATTATTTTGTTTTCTGAGTCACGCTGTTTCGGAACCACACTAATGATGCGCTTTGAAACTGAAGGTGCTATTTGGTTCTTAGATAAATACAATACTTGCAAGTTACTTAGAAACCATAACTGAATCGAGTAACCGACCGTTAAGTTGGACATTGACAAGTTTATTAACAGCAAATGGAAATATTTGTCGCTAAGCGTTTACTTAATTAAAAATCAGTATTTGATAGGAACAGAGCAGTGTTGGCTCAGTGGCTGCAGCGTGTGACTCTCATCTCTGTGGTCGTGGGTTCGAGCCCCGGCTCTGCTCCAATGGACTTTCTTTCTATGTGCGCATTTAACATTCGCTCGAACGGTGAAGGAAAACATCGTGAGGAAAGCGGCTTGCCTTAGACCCAAACAGGCGACGACGTGTGTCAGGAACAGGAAGCTGATCAACTACTTGCCAATTAGATTGCCAAGTAGGTGATCATGAAACTCATTCAACTAAACTTTTTATGAGCACTTCTAATATACGGTAACGTATCTTAAAGAATAAATCATTAAGAAAATAGACTTTAGTCATTGCTTATAGAAGCTGAAACTAATAAGTGATAATATATTTTTCCAATTTTTCGACTGACGTAACCAAGAATGGTTTAAAAAACTATTATAGAACTTCAATTAGTATTGAGACGCCTCCCGAAGCAGTTGATACCCCAATCAAAACTTGGGAAAAGTTCGATGAGTCGATTTTAAACCGAGATCGGAAAATAAAAAAAACAATCAATTAGGAAAACTGTCAACGACAGGCGAGGGAGACCTTCGGAGGGATTGGAACGGTTCAAGATCTGATTAGAGAGAAATTATGCTCAAGTATTGTAAAGAGATTGTCAAAGATGAGTAGAAATATGACAGGGATTACGTAATGCATACATAGTCGGTCCCAAAGTTCTGTCATAAATGGAAATAATCATAAAAACAAAAGTACTGATCAGTTTTTAATGAGTGATATATCAATTCATAGTACATTAATTAAGGAATAGAAATAGCATAAACTTATTCGAAATGACCTCCCTTATTTTTAATACAGGCCCTTAAGCGCCGCGGCCAGTCGTCTATCGCAGCACGCACCATATTCATGTCGATTTCAGTGACTGAGTTTTTTAAAGACGACTGCAGACTCTCCAAATTTTTATGGGGTGTATCACAGACCTTCTTCTCTAAGACCTGCTAAAATTTATAGTCCAAAGGATTAAGGTCCGGACTGGAGGAAGGCCAATCCTCATGTCTAATTAAATCGATGTTTTGACGCTCAAACCAGGCTTTAGTGGTCTTGGCTTTGTATGCAGGCTCAGAGTACTGCTGGAACACGAAGTGATGTCCCGCAAATAGGGTGCTGGACAGGTCTTTGACAAGGCGATCCAAAACCGTCTCTCGGTACACTTTAGCTCTGGTTTTGACCCCCTTTTGCAAAAATGAACCTCAGTTAGCCCGTAATAGGACACTCCCAACCAGACCATTACTGATGATGGATGATGTCCATGTTGTACCCTTGGAACTTTATTTTTAGCTTCTTCAGAACTCCTAGCGTACACTGTATCAATCTGTTTATTGTACTTCTCTTCATTATCGAAATTTTTTTCGTCCGTAAAGAGGATATCACGGTGTCGGTTTTTCGCGTACCGCTTAAACAACACCCGCGATCTCTTAAGCCTTATTGCTTTTAGACGAGCATTAAGTAAGTTCCCACTTTTTTTTTGTATGCTCGTAGACCAAGATCTTCATTTAAAACCTTTTTTATTGTTTTCCTACTGACAACCATCTGCAAAGCCATCAACTTCTGTTTTCGGACAGAATTTCTTACTATCCGCGCTTTGATAGCTTTGATTACTGCTGGTGTTCTTGCGGAGCGTGGCCGGCCAGTTATTTTCTTGTCCTCAACACTGGAGACTTCAAGGTACCTATCAATAGTACCGTACACAAACCTAAGCGTTATATTAAAATTTTTGAGCAACTTGAAAATGGTACTCGGCGAGTGCCCACAGCGGTGCAACACAATAACAACTATTCGGTCTTCTTTCAATGTCCACTCCGTCGTGAAAACTTACTGAAAGTTATTGTTTTTTATTTTAAAACAATAGTCAAACATTCCAAAATAGAATGCAATAACTTTTTTATAAAATCCTGCTCGAAATATAGAAATAATGTGCCAGTGACAGAACTTTGGGACCAACTACGTACATATTGTTTGTTGTGCTTAAAGTGCCTTTTAGATGGAATGCTTTTACGTTACTTAAAAACAGGAATAATAACAGTATATGATTTGTTTAATTTAATTATAACTGCAGTTAGATCTAATTAATGCTTTCCAAAAAAGTATTACTGTGGAAGAAACTGTCGTACAACGGGCTGTTGTAAACACAGTTTCTGGGAAAATTTTGACGCAAATAACACTTTGACATTTACAACACCTCGGTGCTGCCGTACCCAATAATGCGGCAGTCTAAAATCCTAATTAATGCGAAAGCGAAAGAGAGAGATGAGAACTCTAGTCTTTCGATATTTCGGGTTAATATATAACATTCAAATTACGTGGCTTTTGGGAAGACTCTTTAAAATCGATTTTTCAAATCATCATATTACTCTCTCTTTCTTTAATCGGCAGCTCATCTCTGAGCGTTGTGGTCAGCAAGAAAGCGTCTGGAGCGGACAATCTGTTTCCACCGGTTTCGGTCGATTTGAGGGCTATGAGTCTTTCACTTAATCGATCCATCTGGTTGATGAACGGCCACAAGATCTTTTGCCTTCTGTGTTACCAACCACGTTGCTCCAAGCTCACAACGCCTCTGCGCATTTTATGGCCAAAATAAGATACAATTCGTCGGCATATGGTAAACAGGTGAGTCCGTATGCGGAGTTGAGTCAGGATCGATGTATTGGTGCGCTTCGCAGTCCACGGTATATAGATTACGGCAACCTCACAAACTTTCTCTAAATAAAATAAATATAAATAAGAGAAGAGAAAGGAAATATGCTATATAATATTTAAAGGATTAAGAACCAATCCGACTTAGGTTCAAAGAAATGAGCGTACCATTTCTTAAAAGGCCGGCAACGCACTTGAGAGCCTTCTGCTGCTGGTATCACGCAGGTGAGCCTCCTGACACTTTTGCTATATAAATAACAGGTAAGTTTTGATTGTTAAATGTTAAGTTTTTATGGATGTTTCGAGATGCATTGATAGTTGTAAATAGAGGGTACTTTCTTTGCGAGCCTTCTGGCAATGTCATGTACAATCATGTACATGTACAATGAGTGTCCATG